CTAAAATATTTACATATGATAAAATTTTTACACAGTAATAGCATAACAAGATTTACAATAACAAGTAACTTTGGGAAAACGCTATAAAAAAATGTCAATCTTTAAGAGAGGATTTATAGCTTTGTACTTTTATCAGTCCTTTGCCCACATAAGGAAAAGACTTAAAGGAATGATAGGATGTCATACAATGATGTAGGATTTGATATTTTTCACTTATGGCATGTTTTATCGGAGGAGCTTTAAAGGTCAGACCTTATAACAAGTACAAATAAATGCCACAAATCATAATAACGATGGTCAATAAATAAACAATACTGATTCGTTTCAGACACACGCCCGCGTAGCCCGACATTCTTAGTATGTGTCATTACCAGAGAGAGAAAACACTGGGATTTGTGACACACAATAACACCTTTCCTTTGTCATGGTGAAACAAATTGACTAGCGTTGGAGCGGGAACATGAGACAGCTATATCGAAAAATATACCGTCACAGCTCGTCATGTTGAGCCTCTTGCAGTAGGCAATGTCTAATAAATAATAAATAAAATAATGAAATTCACTCAGCAATGTCTCCCCGACACATTAAGTATTGAGCTGGCTGAACCCTCTTTGTGGGACAGTAAAACCAAACCTTTACCACACTTCAGTTAAATCTCGTGAAGCAGCAGATATTGCAGTCTCAGTGGGTGATTCCTGGTCAACTTGTCCCAGGTGTAAGCGACGGGCTCTGGTGACAAGGAGGCAGGTTCGAGTACTCGGTAATGTCGGCGGGCGGTCTTGGCACCTCGTACCCGTCGCGCGTCTTCCCGCCGTGCTCAGCCACCTCGCCGTCATAGATGAGCTCGAGGTACTTGGGGATGGACTGGCTGGCTGGGCTGAGGAAGGGCACCCGGTCCCTACTCCCTCCGTCGCTTTCCGTCTTCCACGAGTCCCCAGAGCTGTTGTGGTTCTCGTCCTCGAAGTAACCTCTGTTAGCGACCCCTCCTGCATGAACAGAAATTATATTCCTCATGCTTTCGTCGAAACTTTCTCATTTTGCCGCATTTTAGACCCGAACGAAATGAATCAAACTAGGTCCTTACCGTTGACTAGATTGAGTGGTGGGATCGGCAGGGACTGCGTTTTGGTCTTTAGATCTTCGAGTATCTGGAGGCAGTATTTGAACGTCGGCCGGGCTTCGGGCGAGTACAGCCAGCACTTCAACATGAGTTGGTGTCTGCAAAGGAAACGGGGGCAGTTGAGCAGGGGGGAGTTGACATTGGCCTCGCCAGCTAAAGATAAAACTAAAAATTTGCCACTCACAGGTCCTCGGGGCAGGTGGCGGGTCGGCCGAGGCGGCCGCCGGCGCGCACATAGTGCAGCACCTCGATGTTGGTGCGGGCGGGGTACGGCTGCTGGCCCAGGGTCATCACCTCCCACACCAGGACGCCGAAGGCCCACACGTCCGACTGGCAGGTGAACACGCCGTCCATCAGGGACTCGGGCGCCATCCAGCGCACGGGCAGCAGGCCCTCGCCCTCCTTGCGGTAGTAGTCGTTCTTGTAGATGTCGCGCGCCAGACCAAAGTCACCGATCTTCACCACGCGCCCGCCGCCGTCCAGGTCGCCGGACACGAGGCAGTTGCGGCAGGCCAGGTCCCGGTGCACGAAGTGCATCTCTTCCAGGTAGCGACACCCGCGAGCCACGTCCACGCACATGCCCAGCAGGTCCTGCAGGGTGAGGCCTGGACTCGCGTGCTGCAGGGGTGAAGTTGCATTATTCGCAGGCCAGGCCAGTACGGAGGAAACTTCGCTGCTCGACTGCTCGTGAGGACTGTTTCTTACCGACTGCGGTCGGCGGCAGCGCAGGTAGCTGAGCAGGTCGCCGCCCTCCATGAGCTCCATGATGATGAAGTTGGGGTCGTTGTCGAGGCAAACTCCGAGCAGCTGCAGTATGTGGGCGTGCCTGAAGTGACTCATGAGCTGCGCCTCCTTCAGGAACTCGGACTTTTCGAGCTCGGTCGCGCCCTTTCTCAGGGTCTTGGGGAGGAATACATATACAATGTTATTTCTTACAAATAAAGGAATGCGCCTCACTCTCGGTGGTTTCGCTTATGGATTCATGACTTCAACTGGAGTTTAAAGTGCCCGGATGGCATCACTCACCTTGATAGCCACTCTCATCTCGCCTACGCCCTCGCCCAGGTTCCTGGCGGTGCCCTCGAACACCTCGCCAAAGGCGCCGCTGCCCAGGAACTTGGTGAGGGTGATCTGGTGGCGGCGGATGTGCGGAAGCAGCGCCACCTCCTCGTCGGTGGGGCCGTCCTGGAGGGCGGCGCCCAGCGCCGCGGCCGCGTACAGCGTGTTGGTGCGGTGGACGAAGTTTCCCCGGCGCGGCATCTCACGCAGCGTGGCGAGCTCCACGTCGAGCGCGCCCGGCCGCGCGCCGCCCAGGACGCCACCGACGCCCGTGCCGCCGACACACACCCCAGACGCCTGAAGTATTTTCTTCTCCTGCTCGCGGCGTCGACTCACTGGACACGGGGGAATCGAGATGTGAGAAACAATGGCTTTCTGTAACGTACACAACGCCTGGTGGCGAGCGAACAGCGCCACTCACCACAGAGCGCGGCCAGGACAGCGAAGAAGCAGAGGGCGAAGACGACGGGAATGGCGATGCCCAGGACGACGCCGAGCTCCTGCTGGTCGGCCAGGAGGGCCGCCTCGCTGAGGTCAAAACTGCGCGACTCGCCGCTCCAGTTGCTCCAGCCGTACTCGTTGAGCGCGCGTACGCGGAACACGTACTGAGCTCCTGCCAGCACCGCCGGACCGCCGCCCGCCTCCGACATGATCCAGAAGTTGTCTGCGGGAGAGACACTGGCTGTGAGTGCTGAGCGGACTGTACCCGGACTGTACCGAGCGCCGCCCGCATGCCGCAGAGCACGCGGGCAAAAAGTGCACGGCAAAACCTCCCCATTCTATACATCAAGCTAACTACTTTTCAAGTTGTCTTACCCGAGCCGTTGTAGAAGTTCTCCCAGTGGTGTTCCTGCTGCTCCTGCAGCTCCTGCTGCGTTGGCTCGGCCTGGCGCCTGCTGCGGAGCGCCCATTCAGTGGCGTCCTGCTGCTGCTCCTGCTGCCCGTCCTGGAGCGCGGGGGGCGCCTTCCGCCGCACCCAGCCCTGCAGGCTGTACGCCTCCACGGGTGAGCCGTTCGGCTCGGAGGGCTGCCACGTCACCTGGGACCGGGGGAGCACGGGGATGGTTTAGCGACCAATTTCAACGAGCAGGGTATACCCGGCGCGCCAGTGGAGCTGCCGCTGCCGCGCGGGCTGACGGGCGCCGTGTGAGCCACGAGTAGGCAACCCGCCCGCACCCCTGTCTTACGGGACGGTATACTACGACGACAAATGCCAGGCGCGCACCCGCGGAAATTGCAACCATCACGATGACAACAAACAGGATCACGGTTTTGGGAGAGGAAGTCCCATGCCCTATCAGCTTCTTGCACTGCGCAACGCCTTCGGGTGACCCCTTAAATGGAACTTGGGAAAGCTACATTATCATTCATTCTATCGTTAGCTTCCTTACCTGGTACACATTGCGATGTATGTGCTGGATGCTAGGGGTCCCCGGCGGGCCTGGCCTGTCTCCAAGCGTCTGGAAAGTGAATCTCGCATCCCCGGGCCAGAGGAAGGCTTGCGTCGAGTGAGGGAACGTCATCTCCAGCCGCATGGTGTAGTTCGTCTTGGGTTGCAGGCCGCGCAGGTCGAGCCGCACGTCGGACAGCACGTCCACGGCCAGGCTGCGACACGTGGCGGCGCCGGCGCCCGCCTCGCAGTAGCGCAGCGCGCAGCTCTGCAGCGGCTCGTCGGGGAGGGTCTGCGGCCAGGGCGTCCACGTGACGCGCAGCCAGTGCGGCCCGGCGGCCTCCAGCGCGAGCGGCCCGGGCTCGGGCAGCGTGCGCACCGCCACCGCCGCGCTGTCCGAGTACTCCTCGGAGTCCTGGGCGTGCGCGCGCACCCACACGGAGTAGCTCTGACCCGGCGCCAGCTTGGTGAGCACCGCCGTGTGCAGGCCGCCCTCGCCGCCCCGCTCCGGCACCACGTCCTGGCCAGAGGTCCTGGCGCCCGGCCCCGGCCCTTCGGTGCGCCACAGCAGCTCGTACCACACGGCGGCCGCGTGCAGCCGCTCCGGGGCGCGCCACCACACTCGCACTGACCCGGGGTCCTCGGCGCGCAGGCGGACGTCCTGCGGCGGTGTGGGGGCTGCAGAAGGAGAGAGGGAGAGAGGAGGTAACGGTCGGTCGTAGGGAAGTAATTTCGCGGGGAGTCTTCAGGACACTTACCTCCCGGAGCTGTCTGGAACACGACGGTCGGCCCGGGCGTTTGCACCTGCTGCAGCACCGAGCTGTAGTAGTTGGCCTGCGACACGACGAAGACGTACTCGGTGAATGGCTCCAGACCAGTGACCTCCAGCTCCGCGTCGTACGTGACGGCCACCCGGCAGCGTGAAAGGTCGCGACCGCAGTCCTGGGGGCGGCCGTAGTAGAGCGTGGAGGCGACGGGGGCGAGCGAAACGGGTCCGCAGTCGGCTGGCCGGCGCGAGGCAGGCAGCTGCAGGCGCACGGAGTCAGCGCCGCGGCTCTCCAGCGCCACCGGACCCGCCGGCTGCAGCGGCACCAGGCACTGCTCGGCTGCGGGCATCGAGAGAGAACAGTGTGACTGTGTCTGCACTCTGCAGTTGTCAGTCTTTGTAAAGCAGATCAAGGAGCTGCGTGCTCACCAGGGTAGGGCTGCAGGTGCGCGCCCAGGGCGGTGATCCTGCGCACGCCGTTCAGCTCCCTGGCGGTGAGCCCGTGCGAGGTCTGCGCCCCCTGCTGGAGGCCCTGCTGGAGGCCCTGCTGCAGGCTCTGCTGGCCGGCGGGTTGCTTGGGCGCCGAGTACACGCGGCCCAACGAGGCGTTGGCCCAGTACACGCGCTCGCCGTCGGCCGTCACGGCGCTGGGGGGCAGCCCGGCCTCCAGCCCGGCCTCACGCAGCGCCCGCGCGCCCACGAGCACGGTGCACGAGCACGCGTCCAGGTCGGCGGCGACCACGTCCCCGCCTTCCGCGTCCACCCACAGCACACGCGCACGCCCCGCCAGCGAGTGGTCCACGGCGAGCACGGGGCCCGCGCGCGGAGCCGACGGACACGTGCAGGCACGCCGGCGCTGCCTCAGCGGTGACATCGTCCTGGAGAAGAAGGGACGCACCCCGGACCCGTCGTGGGCGCTCGTCATGAGGACGCCGTCCTCCACCCAGATGAGCGTGCTGCAACCGACGAGGCACGAGTTAGTTCATTGCACTTATAATCTTTCGTTGTCATCAACAACTATGTATTGATTTTAAAACCTTCAGCTTTAGATGAAACTATGTGTCGTTCAATTATTGCACTAAAACGTATATGCTGGCGAGAAAGAACGGTAGTAACACTTACTCGAAATCTAATATCCACACGGTCAGCATAAAACATAATGGGATCTTTATATGCTTATTGAATAAACCCAACACTCGGCCGCACAGTCAGCGGAATTTTGTTTTTGTTGCTCCGGTTCACCCACCTGTTGAGCGGCAATACGGCGATTTGTCGAACGACGCCATCCCTGCGGAGGACAGTGACGGGGGTCATACCCTCCCGATCCAGGTCCAACTTGCGCACGAGGGACGCCAGGGGGGTCTGCAGGGCGCCAACCGGGGCCTGTTCCACCTCGGACCAGTAGACGGCGCGCCCCACCCAGTCCACGGCCACGCCCAGTGCGGCGCCTGTCAGCGCAGCCAGCTGCAGAGGCGTAACGAAGCGTTAGATGAAGATCATCCAGAACAATGGAAAGCTGTAGCAACCATTGTACTCGTACTGTTTCGTCAGGGATGGTTGAGGCAATATTTAAAGGGCAGTGACAACTTAATATGGTTCTGATAACTGGGTGATTGTTAATTTTGTAGCCATATTATAATGTTTGTCCCCGAGGTAACCGTATGGTGGTTGCTCGTGATCTCCACTTTTGGGGGTGACGGCGAGTACCGCGAGGCTCACCTTGGTCTTGTTCCTGCCATCGAGGGAGGCGGCCCTCAGCTCGTGCGTCTCGCTGAGCCAGAGGACGCGGCCCTGGCCATACAGGCCGGCGTGCAGGAAGTCGAGGTCCACGGGGGCGGAGGCGGCGCGCAGCAGCGTGGTCTCGGCGCGCCGGTCGCAGTCCTCCATGACGAGGGCGTGCACCGTGGCGATCAGCAGCCGCGGCACGGGCCGCTCAGCGCGCGTGTCGGCCGCCACGGGGACGCTGGACGTGCCGCTGCCCGCGTCCGTGAACGCCTGGACCTGCGCACACCGCGGGGCGGGAAGGGGGCGTCAGACAAGCGAACCACTTACAGAAGAACGGGTGAGTCCGCACACGTGGCGCACCTGGAAATAGTAAGTACAGTTGGGCTCCAGCAGGTTGGCCTCGAACTCCAGCCGGTCGGCGGGCAGCACGACGGGCTCGCACATGTGCAGGTCGCCGACGTGCGGCCGGGAGTACCAGTGCTTGACGAGGTACTTGTGCACGGGGCCGTTGGGCTGGCGCGGGGGGTCCCAGCGGAACAGAGCGCTGATGTTGATGTCAGCGCCCCGGTGTCCGCCGCGGTGGTAGGTGACAAACACGCGCGGGTTGTGGGGCTCGCGGGGCCGCGCGGCGGGGCTGTGCAGGCGCGCGCGGGTCGCCGCCGAGGTGCCCCAGAAGGTGAGCGCGCGCACCACCACGTCCAGCTCCGCGTACGGCGCCGGCTGCCCTAGCGGCCCGCAGCAGCGCACCGACGGCTGAGCGGTCTCCACCGTCATCTCGCGGCCCGACCCGCCGTCGCGAACCTTCAGCTCGTACAGCACCTGCCCGTAGTTGACGTTGGTCACTCGGTTCCACGAAATGTTGAAGGCCTCCCACGACCCCGTCACGCGGATCGACGACTGTGCCACAGCCTTCGGGATCACGTCCAGGTCCGCGGCGACAAGATCCTGGGCCGAGTCAGCGGCGCGCTGCTGCTCCGGGTCCAGCACCGTGACGGTGTGGAGGTGCGCCAGGCTGTGCCCACCGCCTTCGCTGCTCCCGCTGATGATGGCCGCGTTTTGGCCGTCGAGGTCACCGAGGACGGCGCTCCGGTCGTCGCGCAGCCAAAGCAGGTGGTGGCTGAAGTAGCTGAGCGGACCCTGCACCCCGGCGCTCAGCTGGGACACGAACACGGGCTCCACGGCCTGCCCGGGCTGCAGCTGGTCCGCGGTGGGGGCGCGGAACAGGGCAGACCCCTCGTAGCTGCGCACCACCCAGTACAGCTGCCGGGAGTCGCGGGCCAACGCCAGTCCCATCACTGCGGGCAGGATCGAGATGAGAGACCATGGACCAGGACCAACTTCGTCGACATACTGACCCTGGGCGACTTACCGTGCTTGCCGGAGAACAGCTCGGCTGGGTAGTAGGTGCGGCGGGCCTTGCCGTTGAGGCGAGCGCTCTCCACGCCGTGCCCCGTCGACCAGTACAGGAAGGCGTTGGCCGCGTCCACTACCAGCTCCTTGGCCACCGTCAGGATGGGCAGAGGCTCCTGTTGCGCGCCTAGCAGGTTGCCGCGGGTGATCTAAAGAGGAGGGAATTTACTGTAGGGAGTGGGCTCCCGATGTGTACACTGTAAAGTACTCTGCGAACACTCACCAGCTGCTGCTTGGGGTTTGACCAGTACAGTCGCTGGCCCACCCAGTCCACGGCCACGCAGCCCACGCCGTCCAGGTGCGGAAGGCGGGCCAGCTCGCGGCTGGTCAGGTTGTAGGCGTACACGAGAGAGGTATTGGCCACCAGGTAGACGCGGTCGCGCCACCACGCGAGGCCGGCAGCGTGGAAGGCAGCCGCGGCGCGCCCGTCGCGGAGGGTGGCCGCGTGCACCAGGACCTCGACGCGATCGCCCGTCACGTCGGAGCGGAGCAGGCCGTCCTGCGCGGCCCAGAGCACGGTGGCGGGCGGAGGGTCGGAGCGCAGGGTGCGCGCGCGGAACTCGCTGCTCCATGGCCCAACCCCGGCGCTCGTGTAGGCCGCGGCGCGCACCACGTACGGAGTGTCCTCGTGCAACCCCTGCACCGTGCACCAGGTAGCGTTCACGTCGCGGTGCTCCAGCGTGTCGCCGCGCTCCTCGTCACGGACGCTGAGGACGTACCGCCAGTCCTGCCACGCGCCCTTGCCCTGCCCACCTAGCAGGTGCGGCGCGTGCCACGAGGCCTTCGCCAGGGCTGCGCCGAGTACGGCCTGCGACAAAACAGAGAAATGATGGAAACAGTGCCAAACTTTGTTGTGTACATGTTTAGGTAGAAAAAGTCCCTGACTCTCGTCCTCACCTGCACGGCGGTGGGCGGATTGACGGGGACGGGCACCGGCTGGGAGGCCGCGCCGTCCACGCACACCGATACGAAGGAGCGGTCGGCCGGGTTGGGGTACGTGTTGTGGAAGTACGCGTCCTGGCCGGAGTGGTACTCCTCCGTCAGCACCTCTCGCCCGTCCGTCCAGTAGAAGAGCCCGCCCGCCACGGCCAGCGACACGACGTGCTGGAACATGGCCTGCTGGGTGTTGCGCCGCAGGTCCGCCACCTCCCGCCTGACAGGGCTTTGGTTAGGTAACGTAACACCGGCAAGTAAGTACATTATGGAACAGGGAACGCATTCCTCACCCGTCGAGCGACACGGCCAGCACGGTGTTGTTAGCGTGGTGCGGCACCAGGAGGCGGAAGTTGGCGTGGTCCACGACGAAGGCGCCGAGGTCTGGGTCCTCGAGCAAGACTGACGGCCTCGTCTCGTGCTTGATGCCGTTGCTCACCTCGGCCAGGTCGAGACGATACAGGCCGCCCCCTCGCTCACCGCCCAGCACCCAAAAGAGGAAGCCGTTGTAGGGGTCGACCTGGACGTGAAGCGGTCGCGAGGGCAGTCCCGCTACGGCCACCGTCAGCCCTCGTCCGTCCAGGCTGGCGCGGGCCACCTGCCACGTGGAGCCGCTGGGGTCGCCGGCGGCCTGCTCCACCTGCCCGACCACGTACACCAGGTCATTCAGCCAGTCCACGCTCAGCCCGTGCGGCCGCACGCGCGTCAGCGCCGTGCTCAGCACCGCGACGGGCGCCTCTGTGGTGGCCTCGGTGTCCAGGGGCGCGCGCCACACCACGCCGCTCGAGTCCGAGACGAACAGCAGGCGCCTGCGGAGCAACGACGGGGAGGATTAACGCCACGGCCGCACCTGCAGGGAAGTCAGCAGGGGCACCAGGACCACGTACTTGGCGATGTGCAAGGCGATGCCAGTGATGGTACTGCCCTCCTCGGCGCGGTACACGACGGCGGGCTCGTCCAGGAGGTCGGCCACCTGGCGGGTGACGGTGCGGCTCGCGGCCAGCACCAGGGCGGGCTGGCGGGTGCGGTCGTCGTCGGGCGCGGCGGGCGCCGGCCGCGGCGGCGTGCCCACCACGACCGAGGCCGCGGGGCCCTCGCCTACGCCATTGCGCATCGCCACGGACACGCTGTAGTTGCGGCCGGGCAGCAGGTTCTGGAACATGTAGAAGTCGGGGCTCTCCGCCGCGGGGATGTCCTGGGAGCAGACAAGGTCACGTCAGTTGCAGGCAGGGCCAACCACGTTTTAAACCCTCTAAATAATCGATGTGGAAATTCTGAACAGTGGATGAATAGAGCTGTCAATAAGCTGGTCTTCGAGTCTCCGCTACCGCAACGCGCAAAGCAACGCATGCCGTGGGAAATACGGCGAAAATAATACCCCTAGCCCATTGATCTGGAAGACCATCATCACTCCTCCCGGTAACAAACGAGTGTACAGCAGCGGCGGCCCCAGCCCAAGCCAAGGCCTAACGCTGGTGCCGGTCTTTCCCAGCTTCATTCATTTACTAGACGCTTGCAGTTCCGATAGTGGAACTGTTTGTTTCCTATCTCTTGTAACGTTGTCGCAATAAAGCATTCCGGTAAACTGAAATGCAGAAGAATGCGAGGAACAAGAAAACGGAAGTCACCATGTTAAAGCATTGCGATTTCCGCTTTCTTCTTCCTCGCATTCTTCTGCATTTCAGCATTACCGGAATGCTCTATTCTGACACCAAACTTTTAATTCAAAGATAGATGTGATTTTGTTTACCTTGAGCGCCGAGTAGCCGGCGGGCAGCTCCGAGATGCGCAGCACGTAGGAGAGGAGCGGCCCGTTGGGGAATCGGCCCGGCAGCCAGGACACGCTGACGCGGCCCCAGTCCACGGCCGTGGCGCGGGTGACGGTGGGCGGCGAGGCGGGCGTGCCGCTCGCCAGCGTGCTGATGACCACCGAGGGCGCGCTCACCAGCAGCTCGCCGCCGCCGCCGTGCCCGCCCGGCAGCAGCAGCGCCACCCGGAACTGGGCGAGGAGAAGGAGTTGGATGAGTCAGAGCCCACTAAGGACACTCAGACCCGATAGATTGTTGTTGGACTCACTCGGTACTTGCTGTATGGCTGCAGGTTGTCGACTCGCGCCGTGGCGTGCGGGCCCCAGGACTGGTTGCGGCAGTACTGCCACGCGGCCGCCAGCTCCTCGTAGCGCCACTGCACCAGGTAGCTCAGGTTGGCGATGCCCAGCCCCGGGCCCAGGCCTAGGCCCAGGCTGTGCAGGCCGGATACCCCGTCCCACTCCAGGCTCAGCGAGTGCGCCGTCAGGCTATCGGCCACTAGGGCGGGCGCGGGTGGCACCCCGATCTCCTCTGGGGAAGGACAAGCGGTCAGTCAGTTACTCTTCGGTGAAGTACACGTCACATCGCTTTCATTCATCTTGCGCATCTCAACGGCGCGCTTTTAACGCGAGAGGCGCGCATCGCATACCTCGCAGTCTCTGGAAGTACATGTTGACGGCGTCGTTGCAGCCCATCACGCAGTACAGCTCCTTGGGCAGCAGCAGCTCCCGGGTGCCGTTCTGCAACAGGAGGATCATCATAACACCATCATTATCATCAACCCTTGTTGAGAGTGAAGAAGCGTCCAGCGAGGCAGCAGAATCATACTCACGCAGGCAGTCTGGCAGCTGGTCTGGAGAGCGTGCTGCCAGGAGCGGCAGCCGATCCCGCACTGCAACAGAGCAACAGGTTCAGGGAAAGCGCCAACAAAACGGAAGTCACAAGTTAATGAATGAGTTGTGTAAACAACTTGAATAGATTTCGCGTTCATATCCAAATCATCCATGTATGATGTCGAGTTTACTCAATTTACACCCAGTCCCATCAAAGCTACTTCCGTTTTCTTCTTCCCCGCATCCACTTTTTCTTAGCTTTACCGAAATGCCTTTTTATTCGCCCCACGCCCCCTCTTCCCCGCATGTGTCGGCTGTCACTTTGGCAGCCCTGCTGCCGGCCGAGGCACGGCCAGCCGTCCGCGGCGTCGTCGAGTTGGCAGCCCTTACGGAGGCACTTAGTCGCGTGCTCAGGCGGGGCGGGGCGGGGC